AACCTCCTCTGCATGCTCTTTTACCCATTGGAACCCCTGTGCTTCTGGTATATGTATACTTCTTGACAAAAAGATAATTACTCCTGATTATTTTTGCTGCTATTGCTAAACCCTAAAAGCCTTAGAGCTGCCTTAATCCTATCTTGTATGTTTCTTATAGGATTCTTTTTCTAAGCATTAATCAGATACCCCTCTAAAAGTCTGGCAAGATAGACTTAAATTGTCATCATAAGCTTTTGTTTAGCTTGCACAGCTATGACTGGTGATGGTAACGAGGCTGTTTGGGAAAAGAAAAAAAACCAACCACCTCTAAACTGAGCCGGTGTGACTAAGTAGATCACTTTGTGTCTTCACGGTTTGCTTCTGTTAAGTGAGGCAACCCAAAGATGTGTGCTTTCCGGAGCCCGATGCATATATGCAGTCAATGACTCTGTCTTGCAAATGCTTTTTCTCTGTGCTCTTTCAGCCACTTCTTAAAAGAGTATAAAAGAAATCTATGAAATAAACAGCAGAATTCAGTTTGACACCTAAACATAGGTGGCTGAGCTCTCACTTGTCAGTGGAGAGCTATTGATACAGTCAGTGGAACAGAGGAAGTGATTCATCTGAGCAGCCATGAGATGTGGGCTGCACTAGGGTGGGCTGCATGCTCTCTATGCTCTGTTCACTATGGATTTCTTTCTCCCAAATGGATCCCACACAGTATCTTTGGGGAAGAAATAACCACCTACATCTGCTTTGCATTTTGCAACCAGAGGATATAATGACCAATCTACATAGGGTGTTAAGCATGATGTTCTTGCCTGTTCAGCAGTTCCTGTCCACATGGAACCCCTTTCCAACAGTCATACCGGTGGCATTTGGGCACAGGGGTCCTTTTGTGCTCTGAGCTCATTGTTAGCATGGCCTGCAAATCTGAGCTTTCGGTTGCTTTTGCAGACGGTAAGTGAGAAAACATGTGGATCATTGTGATACCAATAATATCCCTATCCTTGCTTCTGCAATTGGGTTTTCCAAGCACTATTGTGCTCTGAATGCTTCTTTATGAATGGCTGGTTGCCTTTTACCCAGCCCTCCATTTACCATGTAAGACGGAAAGTATACCTGCTAATTCATGTGTAATGAAGGGTTCCCAGCAGTGCGCCTGTGTTCACTGCACCAAGCAGTTATTCCGCTATCCCTTTCGAAGCCCTGGACTTTGGCTTGGGATGGGCTGCATGAACAGCCTGGCCATGCAGGCAGGGATCTACTTGGCTCCTTGGGAAAGGAGGGCTGGGGCAGAATGAAGTTGCTTTACCTCTGAGAGGTACCTATCTAGTAATCTGTGGTGTCTGGCTCTGATGCAGGCAAGAAGCCTGAATTGCTGCACTCCTAAATCACCGTTCTTGAAAGCTAGTCTTTGAGCAGCACCAGCATTACAATTAGTTCTCAACTGGGTTGTAGCAAAGTGCATATGTGAAGCGGTCCATAAAATGCAGTGGTCTCTCCAAGCCCCAGATTTCTTCTTTCAAGCTAACCTCAGCTATGGCTGTCCCACTAACCATGTGCCAATCGTTTTTTCCCTGTTTTTCCTAGAAGCCAGATTCTGGACATGCGTCTGGTATTTCCTCAGACTCTGGGCTGGTGTGTTGCCTTCCTTGTGTTACCACTTGTCTTGGGGACTGCTCCCTCTCATCTATTGCTAATCCCCAGCTCCCTATTAATTGTTATCATGATAGGAGAGATGTATGATGATTCCATTCTTTTTTCTTTAAGTGCTTCTCACTTCCAAAAATATGGCTGGTCCCAGGTAGGTTGTTTTGGCTATTGGGGCCACTACTGTATGTGTATATATATTTTTGTTTGTTTTTTTTCTTTTGGCAGCCACAATGACAATCTTAAAAACAAATCAATCTCTCAACAACTTCTTTATTGTTAACAGCTCGGTGCCCTTGTCAGGCGCTGGTGACCCGACAGTCACAGAAGGAACAATGGCATGGATGGCATTCATCATCTCTTTCCATAGCACAGCTGGAAGAGCACTCGTGTAGTTTGAGGGGGATGTGCGTTCAGTCTCCTGCACGTGGGAGGATTTCAGCCCACATCACAGGAGAGTGCGCCAGTCCCTGTGGGGATGAGGTAGCGTCCCAGACTCCTACTGACAGTCTTCTGCTCAGTATAGAGAACTGGGCATTTGATACAGCAGGAAGTGCAAGTTTACAGTGATTCAGGAGGGTACGCAGAGGGTAATTCTTCCCAGCTCAAGATAAGACTGTTGCAGCAAGGAGGCTTTGGGGTAGGGTTTGACATAGGATTTGAAGTTGGACTTCTGCTCTCTTGGGGTAAGATCAGTGTTGAGCTAGAAAGCAATCACAAATGGATCTTTGCCAAACTCTTCTACCTTATCAAGATAGAAGACAGGTGATATGCCACTTGTCTAGAGATACTTGGGTCCTCTAGTGTCTGCTTGCTTCTGATTTAAAACAAAACAACAGCAACAACAAAACAAAAGAACAAACCCCAAACCCTCTGCAAACCCACATGAAAACAACGAACCAACCAAAAAAAACCACCAAAAAAACCCCAAAATACCCACCCCACCAACTAAAAGGTGTAACACATCAAGAGAAGATTTCAAGTGCCTCTGTTCCTTGACCCAACCTTGCATCATGATGGCAAGAGGACAACTGCCATTTTGGCCAAATACAGACAGAGGAATGTCTTGGATATGACTCTGCTGTACCCTTGGTGAGCTCTCAATCCAGTAAGCTAAAAAGCTACTCCTAGTAGTGTTTTGGGAACTTAGACACAATTCTTTTCTAAACTTCACTGAATTTAAACTGACCCTATGATTAGTTATACTCATTTCAGAAGTAGTTAATTGATTTCCTCAACACCAAAAGCAATGCAACTTTCAGCAGATGTATTCCCTCGATGCTATTGTTCTTTTTATCTCTACTGATGTTGTGACCTTGAAGTTCCAGGAAGGCAGGGGGTGCATGGTGATGATAGACCTGGCTGAGCGCTAGAGACTCCAGTGAGGGAGAGGACATAAGGGAGAAGGGATCTGGTTTGGGCTTGTATCCAATTATTACAATATATTTTTAGACTATTTTGTACTAAGGAAGTAAACACTTAATGCTGTGTAAAGGTTAGAGATAGACCCACCCATTCTTGGAATTATGTACAGCTTGTCCTGAGTGACATCAGTGATGTATCTGTCTTGTGTATACATGCAATTCGGTGATTTATTACAGTATAATTTTGTGCCAACGCTTATTCAAAAATGTCTTAGGTTGTTTCAGGAAACTATTGTTTTATACTGAGCTTTTTCTCTTTACTGAATTTGTGCAGACCCAGTAAATCCATTTAAAGAAATATTTGCAGTATGGGGTATAGATCTAGTATCTAAGCTTTTCAGCTATTTGCCTTGATTGCTTTTCTGTGGTGTATGAGTCTTTGGAAAGATACAAGTATCCTATGTCAAACTATTTTTGCTTATATTAAATGCATGTTTTAGCTACCACAACAGTATTATGAGTGTTATCACTTTAAAAAGTGATCTGTAAAAAGCTATCTTTTTTCTATTAGTTATATTTCTAAGACTTGTTCAATTTAAAAAAAAATCAATAAAAATGGAAGTTAGTTTTGACACTTGTGATTTTTGTCACTCTTTAAATTAGGTATCACCCTGAATATAGAATGCCATCCATATGTGTCATGTGCAAATGCTAAAATGAGATCTCATCAATAAAGTGGATTTTCTGTGAAGCACATGTGACTGATGATATTAAATCATATACAATTTTTATATATTTAAAAAAATTACTTTTACTTCTTTTTAATAATTAAACATATGGCTCAATATCAATTATTTTTAACCAACTGGTAAAGTGCAGAGCTGTTAGGCCACAGCACTGGTTTATCCTTGGAATAGAGTCCAAGTCATAAAGGTCACCATTAACCAATATTCTCCAGAAGAAATTGTAAACTCCAGAACTCTTCAGTTTGCATTTTTCAAGTGTCCATTTTTCTTAGAGGTTGGTGAATGTGAACTTTTATGTTACCTGGTTTGCACCCTGAGCAGTGCAGTAGGAAAAGAAAAAGAAAAAAAAAAAAGTACTGTAATCCTCAGTAATATAGGGATAAGAATACAAAGTAGGAGTAGAGATGATCTTGTCTCTGAAATGATCAGATACAGATCCAATTTTATGGCTATATTGCCCCTTCTGTGTTTGTAACCCGTCATGATAGACACAGGGTGCGAATAGTTCTTCTGATCAATCTGTGCATGATGCATGTCATTAACAGTAGGACACCACGTCTGGTTCCTGAGCCTGTATTTTAAGGGGAATACAGGAATACTGGAGAGAATTTCCAGGAGGGCCACCAAAACTGTGCAAGGATGAGAAAACAAGCCTTACAGCAATGATTAATGATGATAATCAAGGAAAAGATTGAATGGTGATCACTGGATGTGTATGTGCGCATAGGTCTTGCTCCAAGATCTTCAGTATTATAGACAATAATAAATACTGTAGTTGGAAATCAAACTTTTAACATAGGATGTCAGGCATTTTGAAGCAAAGAGTAGTTAAAGCATTTCACAAATGCATCTTTAAAAGATACTTTAATATAGCTTCTGCCTTGTCTCTGCAATGGTCTTGCCTGAGCAATTGCATTAGTTCCCTCTGGTTTTAAAGCTCTGAAGACCCATTATGGCTAGAGCGTTTGTTAAGCAGTCTCTATAGATACAACGTTGTGGCAGCTTTAATGAAACGTACCTTCTCTGTCACAGAGGCTAGCACGAGATGCTAATAGGGATGAAGCTCTTCTGGTTAGGTCATTCTTGTCTCATGCCTCCCCCATGGCTTTGACTTTACATGAGGAAATTTCTATTTTGCTACTATAAGCTACTTGATATTGTGTAGTTGTTATAATTACATGCGGAAAAGGAAACTGAAAGTTGGATTTTAAAAAGTAAAATTCAAATTCCATTTATCTCTTTTCTCTCTCCTTAGGTGGAAAGACATGACATGAATACCCTGAGTTTACCACTTAACATTCGTCGTGGAGGCTCTGACACCAACCTGAACTTTGATGTACCAGATGGGGTCTTAGAGTTTCACAAAGTCAAACTCAGTGCGGATAGCTTGAAACAGAAAATCCTCAAGGTTACAGAACAAATCAAAGTTGAACAAACAGCTCGAGATGGAAACGTGGCTGAGTATTTGAAACTGGTAAACAGTGCAGACAAGCAACAGGCTGGGCGCATTAAGCAAGTCTTCGAGAAAAAGAACCAGAAATCTGCCCACTCCATTGCCCAGCTGCAGAAGAAATTGGAGCAGTATCACAAAAAGCTCAAGGATATTGAACAAAATGGATCTTCCAGAAGTACTAAGGATACTTCCAAAGATAACTTGAAAGATATTCAGCATGGAAGGCCTCGTACCTCTGGGCATGGAACAGAGAGCAGCAAGTCGGGTGTGCCGGGTGTATCCTTGACACCACCTGTCTTTGTTTTCAGCAAGTCTAGAGAGTTTGCAAACCTGATCCGAAACAAATTTGGTAGTGCAGACAACATTGCTCATCTCAAAAATAGCTTGGATGAATTTCGGCCAGAAACGAGTTCTAGAACATATGGGGGCAGTGCCACCATTGTTGCCAAACCGAAATATGTTAGTGATGATGAATGCTCAAGCGGGACCTCTGGCTCAGCGGACAGTAATGGAAATACTTCCTTTGGTCCTGCTGTGGCAAGTACCCTGAACAGCCAAGGAAAGCTTTCCATTATTTTGGAGGAACTAAGGGAAATCAAGGAGACACAGTCCCAATTAGCTGATGATATTGAGAATTTAAAAGCACAATTTAAAAGAGACTATGGCTTTATTTCTCAGATGTTGCAAGAGGAAAGATATAGGTATTTTTTTTTTTAACTGTTCTCTTGAAATGACTTTTGAATGGGTATAGAAGCTATTTGGAAAGTGTAAATGTGGGTGTGTGCTTGTGTGTGTGATATGTCAGAAGCAAGAGGAAAAAATAATTCCAATCAATATCTGGTACCAAAATGTTCCACTCCTTCCGATAACTGAAAATACATGTAGAACACTAATATTTCCTATCAAATGATGTGGTAGTTTGTTGCCTTTTGTTGAAGGCTTGTTTGAAAATTCCCTCACCTGACATCTTACTGGCATATTGTATTATGTGAATACTGCATATAGGAGGTGCCAATTGTTTTGTAACTGGTGGAAGAATTCTGATCTATTGCGACTTGAAAATGCTAATCAGTCTACGGTGCAGCAGAGCTGACTTACAGCCGATAAATATACCCTTTAGTCCTGAGTACTTTGTCCAAATACTTCTCAGACACGTTGTTATCTTGTGAATGCAATGTCACTTTGTACCCCAGTGTAACACAGCTGTGAAATGTAATTTTGAGTGCTGTAGCACAACTTCCCCTTGCATTTGTTACTTGGCAATTAATTCTTTTATCATCCACTGTGGGAAGTGAGATATGTTCTACAGAGGGCTTGCACTTGCTGTACCTATATCCCATTTGTCATATCACTTGTTAAAGTAAGTGTTGATTCTTGAAGTCTTTACTATGCTAATGGACAAAAACTCAGTATGAATTACAGTAATTTAATGTTTCCCTTGTTTACACTTGAAATACAAGGGAAGGCTGGATATCAGGTGGTAACATGGGGAGGAAAGAACAGAGCAAATGACCTACTGCACTCAGGACTTGGTTTCAGGAGAAGGCAGGGTGTGCTTTTCTGACAGCTCACTGCCATTAAGATCTCAAACCTCCTGCCACCATTTCCACAGCTAGACAATTTTGCCTGCATCATTTTTGTGCTGACTGCAGTGTTTGCCTGTTTGTGTGTTAAATCAAGTTATAAACTCACCAAAAAAACTTTAGTTCTCTGGTGGTTTAGTTGAAATGGTTTACCATGCACAGACATGCCAGAACAGGCTGTACATGAATGGCAGGACGCTGCAGTTGTGTTTGAGAGGGGATCGAGGGAACGTATCTTTCCTTTCACTACTGGCGAGCTGTTAACTGGCTCAAGCTCACTTACAAAACCGTATCTTCTTGTCTAAATGAAAAGTGAGAAACAGAAAAATGTGAGTTGGATACCCTTAGCCACTGTTTATAGTTCATGTAATTTGCCAATGATGTACAAATATTTGCTTTTTAACACCCACTGCCAGCAAGGAACACTCAAAAAAGGCTTTCAGTTTGCTCAATAAATGCTTATGTTTCCAAAGTTTTTACTGATTTCTCTATGTGCTCTGTAATGCCAGTCAGATGAATCCATAGTACACTAGGAAGTTACTTTTTAAAATATGTAATTGTTTTAATGATTTAGCATTACTTGAATAGAATGCACTAAATTTAGACCTTTTTTCCTGATAAGATATGAAAGATTGGAAGACCAGTTAAATGACCTCACTGATCTTCATCAACATGAGACAGCAAACTTGAAACAAGAGCTAGCCAGCATAGAGGAGAAAGTGGCGTATCAGGCATATGAGCGATCACGAGATGTTCAGGTACTTTTTTTTTTTTTTCCTTATCATAAACTTCTAACACTTTGTAGAAATCTTGTACTGTAAAACACTTGTATCTTTCTACATCTGTGTATATAAGGAATCTGGAGAAAGATTTAAGTCCATGTTTTGTCTGTTTTAAGATGAAACCCCGCACATTTAAATCGGTTACAGTCTCCATTTGTTTCAATGGTTTCAGAATTTTATCTGCTAGAATTGATGATATAGCCTAGGCAGACTTCTGGATGAAGAATGGCCTGTTTTAATTTCTTGCACCGGAGGAGGAAGGAGTTGAGTCTCCTTGTATTGTGTAAAATGCCACTTTCGACAATGTCCTAACACAAACCTCTTGCTCAGACTTTCGACAATATGTAGTCATATCACTGGCAAGGTTTATTATGAATTGCGTTTAAGGTGAAAAGTAAAAGAGCTAACTGGTAAATAGACTTGTAGATTTGTCAGTTATAATTGAAGAGTTTTAATCCATAGTCACGATGGCCCCTACAATCAAAGCTGTAGGGTGTGTTCACTTCAGTGATCAGTTGTAGTCATGTCTGGCTTCAACCAAAAGCCAGTAATAATTTCTACAAGTTTGTCCTGACAGCATGTAGTTACATACTTGACTATTTATATACAATATAAGCATTTATATAATGCATAATATTTATACCGAAAGTCTGAGCAATGGTGAAAAATGGTGAAAACATTGTTTTGCCTTATCTTGGGTTTAAATTCACTAACAACTGAGGAGTGCTCAAAGACTGTCTTCGTATTGGCTCAGATGGTAAAAAAAAAAAACCAACCCCAAACAAAACAAAATGAAAACCACCCTGTCCTGTACACCCCTGTGCTCACATTTCTAAACATAGAGAGCGCAGGCAGCAGGACGCTCACCCTGTTTCCTGGTTGGTGTGAGAGTTGGGAACCCCCTGGGAACGGAGTGGGAAAGGGATGGTACTGAATCTAAGTATATCATAGGTTCCTTTGTGGGTTTAAAGAAGAGACGTCTCTTGTGCAGGACTCCCTTCTGTGAAGGCATCTTGAGGATGTAAAAAGTGAATGAGGCCCAAGTTCTCCAGCACAAGGGCTGTGAAATGTTCACTAACTCATTAGCAGAACCCTGGAGAGGGGTGTCAGAGGCTTTTGAAACTAATTGAGGTGCTACGTTGATACAGCCTTGTTTCTTTTCCATCTGTACAGTTGGGCCTGTTTAGACCTGTCTCTTTGGGGGTTTGGCAAATAAGCTAAAATAGGGTAAAAGCATTTAGGTTGTGGATATTTTAAGTGAACAACCCAACTTCAGAGCACTCTGTCCCTAAGGGATGGGCAGATCGTTTTTAAAACACTTACTCAGCCTCTCAGTGCAGAACTGCAGGTATCAGACTTTTACAGCTGGACTTCCTCTAAAGCAGCATGAGATGATTTGAGAATAACTTACGGTCAGAGTGGAAGAAGGAGCAGGAAAGTTCTTTAGTGTGTAGCGGAGAGCATGCGTGAACGCTAAGGGACTTTGTGCCGCTCATTAAGGACTGTCTTCTGTATTATTACTAATTCCTAGAAGAGTGAAAGGAAGCGATTTTTTGTAAGGTGCTGTGCCATGTGCTTTGTGCTGACTTTGGTGCCTGGCTGGTGACATGGTAAGCCAGTTCAGCTTGCCGAAACAAGGGAGAACTGACCCAGCCAAAGAAAGCTAATAACTCCGTGTGCAGTGGTTTTGTCTGTTTGTTGTTACATGGAAGATTGGGTTGAATCAGCTTACTGTGTGATCAGGTGAACACCCCTGCCAGTGCAAGGAAAACGTTTGGAGTTTGAGAGTGGGGAAGGAAGTAGGGATGCTGGAGCATAATTTTTCCCTTTTACACAGTGGTAAAAGGTTACGTCGAGTTGATCAATCTCACTAAATTACAGCCTTGCACCATGTTACGTAGTGGTGCCCAAGTCCTGGCTCCAGCAAAAAGTGGCATTTTGGCAAGTGAAGCAGTCGGAAATTTGTCCATGTTTCACACTGAGAGGGCTTCAGTGTGGGGTTAGTGACTTAGGAACCATTTTACTCAAAGACCACTTTTAGTCCACCCTCAAGCAGAAGAGCAAGGTCTGCTTTCTTTAGAACAAAATGTGAAGTGGAATATATCATGAGAGAGAGAGAATCCCATAAAAGCATCACCACAGGTTTCTCTCATCTCTGCTGCACGCTGCCCACTTGGGGTACGGATTAATGAGCATTCACACTGACAGAAGGAGAAGGCAATCTCTTACTGAGGACTCAATCCCAGCACTGTACGATGGGTGGCTTTGAGGGGAAAAGTAATGTAGGCCAGAGAGGTGGTGTAAACCAAATGGTACATGTTGCAAAGCAGATTTAATTGGTACCACAGCGAGCCTGTACTGCACTAATGTTTTCCATAGCGTATACAAAGAAACTAACTTTGATGCTGTTTTAACGCAGTGACAGTTGCCACGGCAACAGCTTTCCCAGTACTTTATCTCATCAGTATATGCAGGAAACATTATCTGTCGTGAACATTAGCGTTAGGATACTTTTTTCTCAAGCATGAAAAATGTAAAGACTACATTTTGGACAGTGTTGTCAGACTTGATTATGCCTGAGCAGGCAGCGATACACACATGCAGATATATATGTGCATTTATTTTTAAAAGAGTTGGTGGTTCATTCAAGTTTTAGGAGTCTGTAATAAATTACACTTCTAGCTGATGGATGGCTCTGTGGCTGAAATGCGAGAAGTGGTGTATGGAAATACAGCTGCCTTAATTCTTGTTTTCTGTCTCCAGGAAGCCTTGGAAT